TGCTAAAACACAATTAAAATTTTTTTTGAACGTATGAAGGGACTGGTATCCAAGGAAATTCATTTCCTTAGCAACGGGTTCATAAATCCTTATGAAAATCAATGATTTTTAGACATTTTTCTATGAATATGTTTTCTGAACGTGATAAGATAAGGTATTTTGGTTACTTTATTTGTTAAAAGATGGAATTACTTTATTCTCCAAAAATAGGAAAAACAAAATTTCTGTAGTGATATTGTTGCCATGACAACGGGAAAAGAACATGGCGTCAATTCTTATTAATTTTGAAAAAAATTACGCATGTTTATCACTATATACACAAAATCTACAACCACTGCTGGAAAAATAAATGGTGTGATCTTGTTAGGGGTTATAAAGGCAACTTTAGTAGAAAAAAGTTACAAATGGTTCAAATGTGTGACAATCTGGCATTTATAAGCTTTTTTGAAGGGGTGGGGGTAATTTGAATACATGTACAGTGTCCATTATATTGGTCATATTGGTTCTGATCAAAGCATACTCATAATTTTACTATTGTTGATAAATAAATGCACATTCAGTTTCAAAAGGAATTTTATATTCCTCACAAACGAAACTTGGAAAGGGGGGGGGTGAGGGGATAGGAATCACCTTGTTCACCCATCCATATGTATGTAAAATTTTGACTTGTCCATAACATTTCAATGAAGTGCCAATGAAAGTTCATACTTGATATTAAGATTGCTTGTGATCTAGAGATGTGTCAAACACTTGACCCAAGGTCATTTGAACAAGTTCAAGGTCATTGGTAGAAGAATAGTGCAATTTTTGCCCATTCTGTAACATTCTAATGAAAAGACTTGAAGTTTCATCTCAGATATTATTTTTGAGCTGTAGGTTTGGCATGACCTTGAAGTTCATTTGGACATGTTTGACCTTGATTCAAAGACATAGCTTTTTCAAGGTCACTGCAGTAAAAGTGTTCTATATGAGTTTGGCACATTTACATATTTAACTTCGAATGAAGAGAAATTCGAAGTTTGTGCTCAACACAACGGTTTTACTACCTATGATTTCAGTATATGTCATAGTCATTTTTGGTATGTATATCTGCACTAGCAAAATTTTAAAAAGGTTTTAAATTAATATTTAGACCTTTTTGGTAATAAAAAACATTTTATGCAATAGCAGGAGGGGGTATCATTTTATGAGCTTGCTCACAATAATTCTAGTTTATGAAAGAGAGTCACTATGACAGCTCACATTATTTTAAAGTAAAACCATATCAATCAGGCATGTAGCATCAGGTTTGGGTTGAGTAGGGGGGATGATATTCCCCACTCAACTTTTTTCTCAACATAACCTGATGTTTAAACCCCCCCCCCCCCCCACCTTCCGATTTTAGAGAATTTTCCCACTTTTTTTCTTGCAGTTTTTTTTATGCCTACCCCACACCATGCACTTTCAAAAACGATACCATGTCTGTCAAGAGCGAATGACTGGAACCTTTGGTATTGAACTGATGATATATTCTCCTGTTGTCCTAATTAAGAAACAATATTGCAAGACAGCTAAGACCTCAGTAGCTACTGGTGCCTAAAATAAAAATCTGGAAGGGCTATAATGTATATGAATGTCTAAACTTGAAATGACCCTAAAAGATATTCATTAATAATCCTAATGGGCAATCTTTCGAATGGCATATATCGAAATTTTTGTTGTACTTTTATTTAAAACATTTTAAAAACAATGTAGAAATCAGAAGAGAATGACGAATATGAATATTTTTTATATAATACCAAGAGATACAAAACATGAATTTGAGGAACATGTCGTCTGACTTTAAACTAGTTAATCATCATCATCATCATTTTTATTTCACTCACACCAACATCAGTAATATATGAGGTACAATATATAAATTAGCCCTCTTTCTTTTTCCTCACAAAAACATTTTGTCAGTTTTGAAATTAGTTGATTGATCATTTAATATTGATCTTGTTTTAATTATGATACTTCAAAATGCAGAATATGAAGATAGTTTCAGATTCTTCTACGGTCTAATTATTAATCTGCATACTAAAAATTGATAGTTATTAGATTTACATCAATAAAAAAATGCTAACAGACAAACAAAGAATGTTACTTTTGGGTTGAACATTTTTATTTGATCCACTTTCATGTATACACTGCACAATTTATGGATCTATTTTCTGCATCCCTGAGTCTCCGGTGACACTATCCAATCACTTCCAGCATCAATGGTCTGTACTGTACTAATGTCTTCTCATAATCTGAAAAAGTAATAAAATTAAAATGTAATAATATTATACGGCTTTGCCTTCATATACTTAGAACCATTTCTAGTTGAGCTTAAGCAATGATGATGAATGCAAAGCATGTTTATTGGAATCAATTAAATTCCAAGAGATCTCAATGATTTTTCATTTTATTTTAAAAAGTTAACGGTTTTACTAAATGTATTATTTACATGTTTTTCCTGTCTAATTCTATATCATCTCATCCAATTCTGTTTCTGCTTCTTTCTGAGTTTGGCTTCAAAGTGCCGAATTTCATTCTAAAAACAGAAGAATACAACACAAAGTTGAGACCGTATTGATTTCAGATATTCTCTAAATTTAAATACTTGCAATAAAGAGGTCAATTGGTTCTAGGTTTTTGTCAAAACTCTAAATTATGTTTTTCATTTCTTTCCAATATCCCCCAAGAAAAAATGAAGTATAGATATTCATTTAATAAATTTACGTGCTTTAAATCTAATGATGCTTATTATTTGAACCTAGTTGACTAAAATTAGTTCCGTGGTACCGGAGAAAATGTTAGCTGAATATGAATTTTCTTCTATAAGTAAACACTGGATGACATCAGCAAAAAAGTTATTTTTTTAAAATTATTTATTTTACTGTGGTATACATACAATTCAGTTACCACTAGTCCACTACATAATACACTTGTCCGTATCACAATACTTCCAAGGTTATCCCCTTTCCCAAACTAAAATATATTAAGTACAGCGTTAACTCCCTGCCCCTTTTTCTTTTCTTTTTTTTTTTACAGATGCCATAACAAAGGTCATTCCATTTTATGAATATTTCATAATAGTGTTGGTTTTCATATATTCATAATTTTTCATGTAAAAAGCAGGTACATGTATTATCTTAAATGGTAAATAAAGATATCTACTATTATATACAAAATTTTTATTTACTCGACCATCAATCAAGTTATAATCATTATAGCTGGTGAGTGACTTTAGCTACATACATACCGTGAATGCAACAAATTAAAATTAAACTAAATTCAAGTTAAACTTTATAATTTGGGATACAGTTATGTCACTGACCATGACCATCTTTTTCACGTTAGGCCCGCAGAAACAATCTAGGTTAGGGAATTTAATTTCATTTTATCATATAGTTTAATATCGGCAATATTTTGGAGGGGAGATACCCGCTCCTCCAGTCCAGGTTCCTCAGGCCAAGCATAATCTTTTCTTTTTAGTTATAAAATACTAAAGTAATGCAAACATATATATTAATCAATCAGAATTAAATTGAAATGTGCAAAAACACTTGCCAAGTGTTACATATTTTACTGCATGGTTAATTTATGCAATACATTCTTCAGTAGCTGTTGTATTGGTAAATTGTAAAAAAATTCAATCACTCACCGTAATTAAGACTCATGAAAACACCCAAACTGAGGCTCAGACTGCTCCAAGTTTGTAATTTTCTGCTAGTCTTCTGTATATTGTTATTGAAAACAATGTAAGCAAACTACCGTTTACTCCTCCTATGTTAGAGAGCTCTACCAAAGGGAGGTAATTTGAAGCAAAAGTGACAGAAAATTATGGATTTAAATCAGTTATCATATATAAATGCTTTAGTTGCCTGCAGATTTTTTTCTTGATTCTTCTAGAACAAATACTGTTTAATAAATATCTTATGTTGATACGCTTTGATGTGGTTGTAGATTTCTTATAGAGTTTTTCAAATTTGCTGTTTTTAAAGCAAAATAAACCTCCAAAAACTAGTTTTATTTATCAAAAGGTGAAGAGAATTTCAATAATCAACAGTTGTTAAAATAGAGTATATTTATATAAATAAAATAATAATTTAAAAACCTTTTTTTAATGACTAGTAATAAAAAAGTATTTGTTTAGCCATAAATTCAAGTGTCATGATAAAGTACAAAACACGCTATCTGAAAGGCGCGTGGTTTCCATAGCAACAATGCGAAAAATTATTTTTTGCTTGCTTTTTTCTATCAAACCCTTTGTTCTGAAAATTTATATATGGGTTTTAACCAAATCTGTTTCTATGACACTTTCCACATTTTTTAACTAAATGCTCGATGCTTGCTGATTTTGACTCTTAAAATCAACTCGAGAATGCCACCTCCAGTTGGAGGCGGCGATTTTCCAGTTTTCGTAATGGCTCCGGTTCTGACGTTTTCCTGGCATGTAAAATATCAAAATCGTAAAAAGACCAGGAAAACGTCAGATATTTCGGACTAACCTGATGATTGGTGATGTTTCCCTTCTAAACAGTCCATAATTGTACATGTATATTAATTGTCCTCAACACCCTTTCTGGTGACTTTGCGTTCAAACAAGGCGTATATGATAGGTACAAATGTGGATTGTACATGTATATTAATTGTCCTCAACACCCTTTCTGGTGACTTTGCGTTCAAACAAGTCGTATATGATAGGTACAAATAGGAGATATCAAAAATTACCAGTTGCGAGTAGGGCTGTCACTCGCAGGCACTTGTCTTCTTAATACATAAAATATAGTAGCAAATATCAGTCAACCCTCTTGTATTCTCCTACCCAACACTCAAGATTATTCATTACTTTCAGAGTATGTCACAAGACAACTTTGACATCACCATTAGCATTAATTGTTTACCTATCTTGCAATTGCATATTCATAAATTTTACAGAAGTATGGGTTATATCCCGCTTACAAATAAGATGAATTTCTTGTTATTTTTAGCATATTGCCCAGCGGGTTCATATCAGGTTGGTGATAGATGTCAATGGTGTGCACCAGGTTATTACCAAAAATATGTTGGTCAGACAAAATGTGTACTTTGTCCTCAGGGACATATTTCATCTGTCGGAAGCAATGCAATCCAACAATGTTATGGTAAATATGATAAATATATATAATAAACTAGCAAAATTATTTCACAAAAACATCTTAGAAAGCTACATTATTTATTATAAGCTCACCTGAGCCAAAGGCTCAAGTGAGCTTTTCTGATCAAAATTTGTCCGTTGTCTGTCGTCGTTGTCGTTGTAAACTTTTCACATTTTCATATTCTTCTCAAGAACCACTGGGCCAATTTCAACCAAACTTGCTACAAAGTATCCTTGGGTAAAGGGGATTCAAGTTTGTTCAAATGAAGGGCCACGCCCTTTTCCAAGGGGAGATTATGAATTAGAGAAAAATTAATGGCATTTTAAAAAAATCTTCTCAAGAACCAGTGGGCCAGGAAAGATGAAACTCATGTGGAATCATCCTCAGATAGTGTATATTCAAGTTTTTTCAAATCATGACCCGGGGGGTAGGGTGGGGCCAAAATGGCCGATCAAAGTTTTACATAGGAATATATAGAAGAAATCTTTAAAAATCTTCTTCTCAAGAACCAACTGGGACAGGAAAGATAAAACTCATATGGAATCATCCTCAGGTAGTGTAGATTCAGGTTTGTTCAAATCATGACCCCCAGGGGTAGGGTGGGGCCAAAATGGCCGATCAAAGTTTTACATAGGAATATATAGGAAAAGTCTTCTCAAGAACCATTGAGACAGGAAAGATGAAACTCCTGTGGAATCATCCCCAGGTAGTGTAGATTCAACTTTGTTTAAATCATGACCCCCGGGGGTAGGGTGGGGCCAAAAGGCCGAAAAAAGTTTTACATTTAGATATATATATAGGGAAACCTTTTAAAATCTTCTTTTCAAGTACTTCAAAGCCATGATTAGTGATATTTATAGGAAATCATCATCAGGTGGTGTAGATTCTAGTTTATTCAAATCATGACCCCCTGGGGGTTAAAATTCAAGCCCCCTCCCCCCACTCAGTAAACTTTCAGTTCTGATCTGATATGTGCTTTTTCCTAGCCAATTGCTCAAGCGAGCGATGTGGCCCCTGGGCCTCTTATTTTTTCATTAAAATGGTATGGCAACAAATAAATTGTAAAAAAAAAAAATCAATATAAGAAATGTTTATAAATGATGCTATTTGCATTAATTTCTTTTCATTCTGCAAGAAGATGTTGAGACATACATTAGAAAAAAAAATAAAAAGCTTATATATTTTGTATTCTTCTGCCCGAGGTCGATTTTAATCATTATTAAATAGTATAACATTTTTATGTTGATGTTCAATTGAAGTTAAACTAGGTACACTGTAGACTGTGCATTATTTCAGACATATCTAATGTATTTCTTCAAAGTACTGGGGGTATTGCCGAAGCACATCTGCATTGGGCTTATCCACTTTTACAATTACTATTTACCTTATAAGTGGAAATTTTAGCGAGACGCAAATTTAGCAATTTGTCCTCAAAAAGTGGTATTCAATTTTTAGCGATCTCAGTATCCTCGCTAATAATGCTAATATTAAATCCTCGCTAAAAAATCTTCTTTTACGGTATTCGTTGGCAATCTTCTGTAATCCCTTTAGTTCATTGTCTTTCTTAAGACAGGACACTCTTGTTAAATTTATCTTTATTAAACTCAGTTTGTTGTACAGGTAAAGCAGCAAATAAAAATAAATGTATATGGAATAAAGTAAAACAGTGTACGTCTATTATAACAGTTCCTGGTGCTCAAAACAAGGAGGAAGAAGAAGGTCTCTCGGCGGAAGTCATTGTTGGTATTGTTTCTGCAGTCATCGCATTCCTAGCTTTCGGTTTATCTGTGTTATTGTATTTCAGAAAAAATAATTAAAAGAAATCTGGCACAAACTAAACAAACATAAATCACATGGTTTTAGCAGATATGTGCAAGGAATGTAAAGGGTTCCTATATTCAAGGAGTTTGAATTTTCCCGAGAATCAAACGCGTGATTATTTTATATTCATTGGCGATATTTTCATGGGATGGGACACAATCATATATAGAACACAGTACCTTTTTTTAATACTTAATGCGTACGAACTCATACAAACACAGTCATTTAATCATAAAATACTCAGAAAATCAAAAGTTTTATAGCAAAGCTTCCGATTTGAAAGTTATGAACGTAAAATATGTCTAATTTATTCAATTATATCAATAGTGTGTCAACACATTGAATATGCCTGAAAAAATTGTCAAATGAATAGAAAAAAAGTTCTGTTGTAAATAAATTAATATGAAGTTCCCGAGTCTAGTGTAAAATGTGGGTTGTGGTCAGAGCATACTTGTATTTTTTCTTTACAGTACACCTATAAATTGTGATTTTAGTTTGTATCCAGAATTGATTTATTGTATATAGAATTAACAAACTTATTTTTTATAGGATTAACCTTGTTACAAAATGTAAATTTATTCTAATGATTTATGTCTTGTAAACAAAGTTGCGGGGTAGTTCGACAAACAAATCAAAAGGTTGAACATTCTTTATAATAAGATGTTTTTTAGGTAATTTCTTTCAATAGTGTCTGTAAAATTTCAAAAGAAAAATTTAATTATTTTTTTAAACAGGGCAGAAAGCTGAAATCTTTAATTTTGTAGTTTTTGTAAAGATAGAAAACTTTGATTTAGATTGCTAGTACGCTGGAATAGCTCTTTTTTAACCTTTTCATTTTTTCATCAGTAACATAATATTATCTATATGTCTCTATTTTTTCTTTTTCCAAAAAAAACAAAACAAAAACAACAACAACAAACAAAAAAAAAAAACAAAAAAAAACAAAAACAAAAAAAAAAAAAAAAAGAAACTGAATGTAAACTTTGATCTAGATACTTTTAAACTTTGATACTTTATAGTTATTTGTTTTTTTTTCTCTAGCGATTAGAGACCAATATATCATTGTAGTTTATTTATTTATTATTTAATAAACGAGAGTTATCCTTTCAACTGTACAGTCATCCTCAATGTATTTTGTTTGATTATTGTATTGTTTTACACAGTGTGAGAATAAATTGAATTTTAATTGAGACAAGGAAAGCTTATGTCATAGCAATGTGTCCATCTGTCTGTCTCTTTGTCTGTTAACATTTTTTTTTCAAAATTCTACTCCTTCTACAGTTATAGACCAATTTCCAAAAGTCACTTAAAAAAATTCTTTTTGTGTGTTCTCGATTTTGTTGAACGGTGTTGCCATGAATAATAAAAATAAGGATTTGTTTGAAATTCATTGAAAAGCTACCTCTCCTACAATTTAAGTCTGATTTCAATACTGAGTATAACTTAGTTCACAAGTAGACTATACTAAGATACATATAATTACTTAATATATTACTTAATGCGATTTTTGATTTCGATTAACGTTTTTTACAATTTAGAATGCTAAAAATACAATAATGTTTTCTGTAATGTTCTTTTTAAATGCTTCTCCTACTAGTTTTAGTGTGATTTTAAGATAACTTTGTGTACAACTAGACTATATTTAGTTATATTATGTAAGTTTTAGTACAATGTTATTACATATCATTATAGAGTTAAGTCATATTTAAGGAATGTTTTGAAGTTTTTTGTGAGTTATTGTTGTGTGAATCACACATATTTGTCACGTAGGCATAATATAAATATTTCAGCATGACTTCTTTCATTATTCATTCTTTTGAAACACTACTCTTTCTACAGATTTAGTCATATATGTACTTCAGTATAACATAGTACACAAGTAGAGTTAACTAAGATAACTATTTCTATTTATCGGGTTTTGATTTTGTATAACGGCGTTGTCATGATATTAAAAAAATAAATTTCTATGGAATTATTTCAAACTCTGATGCTTATTTAGTTATTATCTGTTTTCAATTTAACTTTTTTGTACACATGTAGAGTTATGGTGCCTAGGTCACATTTAAATCGATGGTCGGGCGACCAAAATTTTCTTGTATCGTCGGCTGAAAAACGGAATTGTCCGACAGTAGTATCGAGAGAGGCGGAGCAGTCACATTAATGATTAGGATCACCGATAATTTTCAAAAACGCTATCCGCAGACTTTCTCGTGGATGACTGGGGTTTTAACAAGGCTACCGCTTCGATGGAAAGAAACAAAAAGTAAAGAATTTTGTCCGAAAGTGTTCTCGCTGATTCCTAAAACAAACGTAATGAATCTGCAAAGAAATGAAAACAGTAATTGTATACTAGTAGTTGTTCAATTTGCATTTAAAATTTTCAAACCGCCCATGATTTTCATGGAAACAGAAGAAAAGCAAAAATTGTTAAACTTCAGAAATGCTCCTTATATTATGTCAAAATTCAAAATTTCAAAGAATGGAATATTTTTTGTATATTTTTGTTTTGTGGTACTAAGTCGAGAAAAACATCAATTTCCGAAATCGTTCCAGGTCATTTCGGGGAAGGTTATTCTTTCTGTTGCAATGCTGCAGCAAGTTCTTGGACATTGACAGGAGGTTGTTGACGTAGCCTCTGTCCAAACTTGTCCATACAGCCATGTTCGATGGGGAAAAGGTTCAGACAAAGTTTGGGGCATGGTAATGTGGGCATATTCTGCTGTTGGAGATAATCTGTAACGATCCTGGCCTTATGACATCTGGCATTGTCATCTTGAAAAAGGAAACGGCTGCCATCACGACGTGCTAATGGCATCAATATGGAGCGCCAAGATGTTGTCCCGGTCGTACTGCCCGTTGACACGTCTAGCAACAAGATGCAAGTCTGTTCTTCCGGCAACAGTGATGCCTCCTGACACTATTATAGATCCATCCCCATACTACTCATGTCTTAGCTACCCCCTCGTCCGTTCAGGAAGTCCAAAGTGAACCCCCGACTCATCTGAGAATATGACGTGGTTCCATCAGCAATTATCCCAGCGTTAATGTTGATAACACCATTGGAGTCGGGCCTGTGGCAACGCACTTTTAAAATTCTTTTCAAAGTAATTGGGACAAAACCAACGCACTTTGAAAAAAAAATTCACAGTGCGTTACATTTGGTACAAAATCAACGATTCAAGTTATGGATAAATCAAAATTTGCTCCTTCTTTCTTGAGAATTGCTTTAAGTCAGCTATAACCCTCTACAAGCATTTCTTCATTATTTCTAAAAGACCCTTTTCCCTTTATAACATTTACGAGAACCTAAAAAAACGTCTATATATCTCGGATCCTGAAGTGACTTCATCACCGAAAAGTCCAGCCATGTTCAAATAATTATTTGTCATAACTAAACTTTGAAACAATATTAACCAAGCCGTGCTAATTTTTTTTAAAAAGTGTGTTAATATGGTCGACATTAACGCACTCCAAAATGATTCTTTTTTTTCAAAGTGCGTTAATTTGATCCCAGATTGATCGCGCTTTGAAAAAATTTCGAAGTGCATAATTTGTCAAAGTGCGTTGTAACATGGACACTACTGTGACGTTACCTCAAACAGGGAATGACACGAGGACGTCGGGCGTGAAAGCGAATTCTGTGATGTTGATTTTGCAGCCTGTGGATACGACCTGTTTATACTGATGATGCTCGTACATTGTTGTGTATTGTTTTGAATTTTAAAAAAGTATATCATTTATAATCTATACATAAAAATAATGATATCACTTGGCAGTGTGTTATTATAAATAGAGTAAATATAAAATACTGGATAGTCTACTCTCGTGAATTAAATTTATTATAAGAAATAAAGAGTAAAATACAATGCACTGAACCACAATATTGGTATTAAACAGGTACTCCAATACCACTTGACCTTTAATTAATCCCTTGACTAATTAGATCCCCCCCTTAAAATTGTGAAGTGAATGCATTTCCAAAATGTGTGGGTGATACAACAGGACGGACCAGGACATACATCCTATATATAGGAATTTTTGTGCCTTAATACCGGGGATCTTTTCCTGAGTTCATGACTACGGAAATTTATTTGATCTACTTGCTGATTAAGTTTTTATTTGCCATACAGGGGATCTCTAATGTTGTTGTACTGAACTCTTCAATAAGCTTAATGACACAGGTCAACAGTGCAGCTCATTCCCTTGTCTAATACAATTCTTTAAATACTAAAATTAATTCTACTTATTTAGCAATTTGAAGATCATTTGTGGTTAGATTATTGATTTTATAAATAAATATATTCGATAAATTACACTATTATATTTCATCCAATATGACTGTCAACAGACGCATTTGAGAATTAATCAATTTTAAGTGACTATTGGTATATAATATTTATAAAAGAATTTGATAAAACTTGAAAATGAATTTAAAAAAAAAAATACATCTAATGGTATTCATAATATTAATGTGGTCGTAATCTTAAATGGCTACTCCCCCCCCCCTTTCGACACGATTAAAGATCGACAAGACTTTACAGGTAACAACATTTAAGCTGATAAATAACGGGAGCTGGCCCCGCCGCGGTGTAAACACGGTCTCAGGTAGCACCGCGATCAAAACCCGCGACGGTGTGACGCGGAAAGGATTAATACACCGCGGAGGGGACGCGGTCTAATACGGGATCCGCGTTGCCTGTACTGTAGAACAAAAATGAGACATTTTAGTCATTGATATGGGTTCAACAATACAAGAAGTCCAAGGGCCTTGACGGTCACCTGAGTATAATATGACACTATAAAGGATACGCAGGTGTATATATAGGTGTAAATAAAGCAAATTAATTAAATCATGAAACTACGTTGCCCACCAATTCCAAGCATCTTTTGAAATAATCTTTTCTTGTAACGAAGGATCTCGGTGGGATCGTACTTGGTTTGCCCAAGTACGCCTTACAAAGATGATAATGAATGCAAGAAATACAAATTATACGAGGTTGTCCAGTATAATCGTCGACAATTTGTCTAGAGTAAAAATTAATTAATGCGTTCTTAAATTTTCACTATTCTTATCTATACTACATTTTACATCAATATGCATTGCAAATGTCAAATATGATATATGCACAAATAAACAGACTATGAGATTTTATGATATGTGCTGTGTTGCCTTTCGGCACACGGATGATGACGTAAAAGTGTCTAATATAAATCAGCGTCACATTTCCTCTGTTTCCTCTTTGCTTAAAAAAGTTGAATAAGGAAGAAGGAATTTCATTGATGCACATACTTGAGTTTTCCTTTATTCCTCCATAAAAGTCGAGGAACTAATCTCGAATATACATGGATCCTGGAAGTTATTAACAGTATTCATTCAACTACAGTAAGTAGACAATCTTATTTATCGACGGTCTACAGTGACAGCGTCTTCGCTTTTGCCACAGCTATTTGTCCGTATGTTTTGCTCTATCGGAGGACTCCATTAAACTTTCGCTGCGAAACTGCCATTTCAATTGTATACAAAAGATCTGGTGATATCTCCATTTAGTTTTCTTCTGTATTCATTTATAGTCTGAATACTACATCTAAATCGAACTGAGCTGCTCTGTTAACCACTTTTCTATTTCAAAATAAATGCTCGAAAAACTGCCAAAAATTGAGAAAATGCCTTGAAATTTTCAAAGACAACACACAAAATCTTTGACAGGAGCACATAGGAGGGAAACGAACGATGGCCGGCAAAATAACGGCACTCTTTATCTTTTGTCTTGAAGGAAAGAGGGTTGTCTCTTAGCTCAGCAAGCAGGAAGCAAAGAAAAT